CAATCCACTGTGACCCCATGGAAAACATTCCTCCAGGCCTTCCTGTCCTCTACTATCCACTGGAGTCCATTTAAGCTCAGGCTTACTGCTTTGGTGACTCCATCCAGCCACCTCATTCTCTGTCGTCCCCTTCTTCTTTTGTCCTCCATTGTTCCCAGCATTCCTGGCTCTTCTCCAGGGAGTCCTTCCTTCTCATTAGGTGGCCAAAGTACTTAAGTTTCCTCTTCAGGATCTGGCCTTCTAGAGAGCAGTCAGGGTTGATCTCCTCTAGGATTGACCGGTTGGATCACCTTGCAGTCCAAGGGACTCGCAGGAGAGCAAGGTCGTAAAATGTGGCAAAACTCACTTAACAAATGTTTCACTTAGCAATATAAAATCTGGGCTCACTTGTGAGTCAAGGACTACCTGTATTCCTAGCCTCCCCAATGTAACCAGCCACCCATTTTTTTTGGTCAAGCATGTATTAGATAACATATATTAGTATAAACATGATTATGAATACATGAAAGGCAGAAGACAGTGGTTGGGTGTTTAGTTTTGGCACTGTGTGCTCTACAAAACTCCACTTTTTGTTTTTGGTTTATATGAGCTACCATTGATGGCTAATGAATGTGGATATTTCAGTGTGAATTCAATCTCGACTTATAGCTGGGAACCTTGTGTGGGAAGAAATGTCCTTCTGGGTTCAGTTCCAAGTGTGGAAATACGACACTGGAAACACGGAGGCTGCTTGGAAAGATGGTTTAATGGTGGACAGGATCACACGGCTTGAGCTCCTGAATAGAAAAGGGGGATCACATGCTTCCAGATGTTGAGTGAAGAAGAAAAGAGAGTGAGATGCTGAAAGTCCCTGGTTTTATGCCCTCTCTGGCCTTTGATCTTGTATTCTGATTGGTTGTCAGACTCCAATGGGGCCTTGCAGGGGAAACATTGTAGGCTGTGAGTCCACATTGGGGTTGAGCCTTGCTTCTTTCCAGGTTCCCTGTGGTCAGATGGGCAAAGGGTTAATACTATCATGCCTTAATCCCATCAGCTTGGAGCTGAGGGGGGATATCTTTGTTATGTAGAATAGACCAACCCAGGCTTTTTAGTGGCCCATTGACAAAGGTGGGGGCTATTAAGAGTGTCTCTGATTTTAGAATTTTTTTTATTTTCAAAACAAACACAACACATAAAATCTTCCTTCTTTACATACTGTAGAAAGTGTATCAGTTGGTTACAAAAGGTTTTCGTGCATCTCTTCCACAGTCATCAAGCATAATTCATATTAACTCAAGTATTCTAAAACTCTAAAATAAAAAATAAAATAAGAGNAGTAGCCTGCAGTACTGCACTCTAACCACTGCACCACCATGGCTCTGTGGTGCAGTGGTCATAAGTGTGAAAAACGATCAAGGGTGGTTCAGTGGCTAAGACGCTGAGCTTGTTGATCAGAAAGGTCGGCAGTTCGGCGGTTCGAATCCCTAGCGCTGTGTAATGGCGTGCACTCCCGTTACTTGTCCCAGCTTCTGCCAACCTAGCAGTTCAGAAGCACATAAAAATGCAAGAAGAAAAATAGGGACAACATTGGTGGGAAGGGAACAGTGCACCTTCAGTGTTTAGTTATGCCAGCCACATGACCACCAAGACTTCTTCGGACAGCGCTGACTCTTCGGCTTTGAAACAGAGATGAGCACCACCCCCTAGAGTCGGTAACGACTAGCACATATGTGCGAGGGGAACCTTTACCTTTACAGTTACAAGATTCTCTTCCCCACCGCCCAGCATGGCTGAAATGTTTGCTTTCATCCAGCTATATTTCACAAAATGTGAATGCAATTCTTGGATTTTGGGGTGCAGCTTTACACATTGAAGATATTTGGCTGGCAAGAATTTTTAAAAAAATGTTTCCAGTTCAGATTTTTCCCTGTGATGCTTTCTGTCTCTTGAGGTAGATAGCTCTCTGCCATTGGTCAAAGGAATGACGCTAGAGAAGGCTTGTTAGTTGGACGTCTCTGGAATTTTAAAGCGAATTTTGAGTTCTTGGAAGTGTTTTATGAGAATGAGAAATACTCCGTCTATGATTCAAGCATTACTGGGAAGGAAGACCATGTACTGTGTGGAATGCCTTGTCTCTCACTGGGGATGGAAGCAAAACCTATGTGCTTTGTCAACTTCCATCGCTACATAAAGATGTTAAAAATAAGATTGCTGTTAATCCTAGAGGGCATTCTTCCACTCGCTAATATGTCAGCATGTTGAGTAATAACGATATCTCCTTCGTAGAGTAGGTACCCTTTACCTTATTTGGTTGCCTGAAGGATGGTGGCAGGAACTGGGGATGTCTAGACTAATGAAAAGAAGGATTAGGGAGACATGATAGCAGCGTTCCAATATTTGAGTGGTTGCAAGCAATGGATGGAAACTCATCAAGGAGGGAAGCAACCTAGAACTAAGGAGAAAATTCCTAACAGTGAGAACAATTAACCAATGGAATGGCTTGCTTTCAGAAATTGTGGGAGCTCCAAATCTGGAGGCTTCTAAGAAGAGACTGGACAGCCACTTGTCTGAAATGTATAGGGTCTCCTGCTTGAGCAGGGAGTTAGAATAACAGAGTTGGAAGGGACCTTGGAGGTCTTCTAGTCCAACCCCCTGCTTAGGCAGGAAACCCTACACCACTTCAGACAAATACTTATCCAATCGCTTCTTAAAATCTTCCAGTGTTGGAGCATTCACAACTTCTGGAGGCGAGTTGTTCCACTGATTAATTGTTCTATCTTAGGAAATTTCTCCTTAGTTCTAGGTTGCTTCCCTCCTTGATGAGTTTCCATCCATTGCTTGCAACCACTCAAATATTGGAACGCTGCTATCATGTCTCCCTAATCCTTCTTTTCATTAGTCTAGACATCCCCAGTTCCTGCCACCATCCTTCAGGCAACCAAATAAGGTAAAGGGTACCTACTCTACGAAG